CATGTTAGTTTCATTTCGAGTCCTCTTTAGTTGATTTTAACCTGACTATATTTCCTATATTTTATGAACACTTGACTAGCCATTAGAAAGAGTACTTTGTAATGAAATATAGGGAAATACTGTTGTATGGTAGATATATATTCCTGCATCAGAACAGGTCTACCCACTGGGCTGTTTTCTAAAGACTTCTGTGAACTTCCGTGTTTGGTTTTTATTCAAAGAATTTAAAATGCTACATGTTGACAACAAAGAAAAACTGCGAAGCTTTTATTTTTCGCCTCATAGTCTTCCATACTATGATTTTTAAGATTAAAATATACTCATCTCTAAAAATGAATTAGTAATAAAAACCAATGATCATATACTTTAATCCAGTAAACCCACTTCTAAGAATCTATTTTAAGGAAACAACCAGAAACAGAGGCAAAGATTTGGGTATCAGGATGTCAATGCCAACATTATTTGTAATACATAAAAATTATAAACAAGATACTTTGAAACAGTTAAATTAGTTATGAAATTTTAAGTAATGGAATATTGTAAAGCCATTATTATGTTTTTCAAAAAATATTGATACATTGGAAAATTCAGAAGCAAGATACACACACACACAAACACGTGAAAAAATAAACATGCAAAGGAAGTATCCTAAAATGTTAATAATGGTTATATCTAGGTGGTAGAATTGCGGTAACAATTTTCTCTCCTATGTTCCTTTATTTTCCAGCTTTTTAATTTTTTTCTTCACAAAGTCATACATGTCTTTCATAACATTTTCCAAAATTAGAAAACAAAATAAAAAGAAAGGTCTCCCACCCTCATCTTAATTCCATTTCCCACAAGTATCCATTAGTATGTACTGTGTGCACCACAGTTTAAATGTGTTCCTCAAAGTTCAAATGTCAGAAACTTGATCCCCGATGCAGCAGTGTTAGGAGGTGGGGCCTAAGGGCTCCCCCCACGAATGCATTAATGTTGTTATCTCAGAAGGAATTCGTTATGAAAGCCTGCTTGTTATGACAGCTTGCCTTTTTAAGTAAACAATCTATTTACTCTATTAGTACATACATATGTATTGCAGTTCCTTTTAAATTAATTAATTAAATTAATTAAGTATTTTCTATGGCTCAGGGCCTGACTCTGTCACCCAGGTTGGAGTGCAGTGGTGCCATCACAGCTTACTGCAGCCTTGAACTTCCAGGCTCAAGTGATCCTCCCAGCTCAGCCTCTCAAGTAGTTGGGACCACAGGCATGTGCCACCATGCCTGTATAATTAAAAACACTTTTGTTTTTTGTAGAGACAGAGGCTCCCTATGTTGCCTAGGCTAGTCTCGAACTAGTTGGCTCAAGAGATCCTCTTGCCTCGGCCTCCCAAAGTGCTGGGATTACAGGTATCAGCCACTGCACCTGGCCTTTTAAAAGACTGCACATTTTTCATAGTTAACATGACTTATTTAATCAATCCACTGACTGGACTGACATTTCACTATTTTTTACAGTCCTGAATTCAGAAGTCTTATACACATATCTCCACACATTTGTGCCAGTATTTCTGTAGGTTTACATTTTATTGGATCACAAAGTGTGCATACTTTAAATTTTGACAGAGAATATCAAACTTGTCTCCGAAAAACAAACTTTGAAAATCATATACCTCATATAGAAGTTCCTTGCTAAATGCACCCTCACCAATACCAAATTAGTTTATTTATTTTTGTCATTTGTTTTTCAACAGGCAAAATGCAAGTTCTTCTTATCATTTTAATTTATATCTTTATTCTTTTTTTTTTTTTTGAGACCGAGTCTCACTTTGTCCCCCAGGTTAGGGTACAGTGGCGTGATCTTGGCTCACTGCAACATCTGCCTCCTTAGTTCAAGTGATTCTCTGACCTTAGCCTCCTGAGTAGCTGGGATCACAGGAGCCCACCACCACACCTAGCTAATTTCTGTATTTTTAGTAGAGACAGGGTTTCACCACGTTGGCCAGGCTGGTCTCGAACTCTTGACCTCAGGTGATCCTTGGCCTTGGCCTTGGCCTCCCAAAGTGCTGGAATTACAGATGTAAGCCATCATGCCCGGCCTACATCTTGATTCTTAATGAAGTTGATTTTTTTATTTGACTCATTAGTGATTTTTATGTCTTCTTTTGTAAGTTGCTGATGAATACTATTCTAGTTTTCCTATAGGCTATTTCTCTTTTATTCCAGCTGAATTGTCTCTTATGTATCAAAGAAAGCAAGCCTTTGCTAATTATATAATTATGAATGTTTTCTCCTAGTATGTCATTTGTCTTTATAGTTTGTTTATAGTCTTTCCTCATAAAAAACTTTTAATTATTGTTTTTATATTAATTAAAGTAAGTGTATTTTAAAATGCATCAACATAATTATGGATTTCAATAATTATGTATAAAATGGAAAACTGAAGCATCAATTTGTTGACAGATTTTTTTCTCACTGAACGTACATGAAGTTGTGTAATACTCTACAGGACAGATTTAAAAGTTTAGACTTGGAAGGGGTTTTCTACAATTAGTCAAAGAATGAAGTTTTTAATTAAATACATTCATTACCTTGAATCCACAGCCACTTGATTCTCTTGCTAAAATAATTGATGTTTCAACAGACTGCTCCATTTGATTTTTTCTTTCATTTGAATGCTTTTCCAAAAAGCAGTAGAATTAATTATCATAAAAATATTCATGTATTCGAGATAAAAGTCATTGATACTAAAGTGATGATGGAGAGGATCTAACAGGCTGGAACTTAGCCAACTCCACAGTAAACACCAAGGACACCACATTTTAAAAGACTATCTCCCCATTAACAACTTCAACTTGCACCATTTCAAAAGGTATTTCCTTATCTCTCGTGAGGCTCCATTTGATTCATTTCAGGGTCATGCTCACCATGTTTTCACTTTTATAATGCTTAAACAAATGCCTTTGGATCCCTGAGGTCATACCTAGAAGGGCAAAGACCAACTTAAACTCAGGGAGCCAGAGTTAACTCAAGGAATTCAGTAGGTGGAATGGCTTTCCCACTGGAGATTCAGCTTCGGAGAGTGTTTAATGGGCATGGTGTCCCCAGGGGACAGATGAGTCCCATAAGGCCAGAGTTTGGTTCAGATGTATTATGAGCTTCCCCACAGCTAAGTGGAGTCCTAAATCAGGTTCATCCACTCAAGCCATTTTTGGCTCCTTCCAACTGGGCTAGCCCAAGCCCTTTACTGACCTCCCTAATCCTCAAGAACATTCCTTACGATTTCCAAACTTCCTCTGGAGTTCTGGGACTCAATGGAGAGTCAATCCAGAGGCCCCAAGTGCTGTATGTGGGTCCCCATGCGCCACTTGCTGGCCCTATGAAGCACTTTCAGAGGGCCCCGGGAACAGAAACGGAAGGGGTTATCTTAAAGTTATAGGATAACATAAAAAAAGAAGTCTTTTTCAACAAATTCCTTAATTCATGTATCATTTTATACAAGTGACCATCTATTATAAAACACAACATTATTTTTATGCACCAGTGAGGAAAAAAAGGTGCCCCAAAATTTAACGTATCGATAATTCTAAAAGACATTCTAATGTAGAGTAGATGAAATTTTTAAGAGAGAAAATATGACATTTTCCCCTATGACATTCTATTTCTCAAACCTGTCAATTTGAAAAATATATGACTGCCGGGCGCGGTGGCTCACGCCTGTAATCCCAGCACTTTGGGAGGCCGAGGCGGGTGGATCACGAGGTCAAGAGATCGAGACCATCCTGGTCAACATGGTGAAACCCCGTCTCTGCTAAAAAAAAATACAAAAAATTAGCTGGGCATGGTGGTGCGTGCCTGTAATCCCAGCTACTCAGGAGGCTGAGGCAGGAGAATTGCCTGAACCCAAGAGGCGGAGGTTGCGTTGAGCCGAGATCACGCCATTGTACACCAGCCTGGGTAACATGAGTGAAACTCCGTCTCAAAAAAAAAAAAAAAAAAAGAAAAATATATGACTATGTTCAGTGTTTATATCCCCACAAAGAATTTCCTAAAATATTTAAGTCAAGATGGTCAATTTTCTCTTAGCTTATTATTTTTGAAAAATGCTAGATTGATAAAATCCCGAGGAAAACTGTAGACCCAACCAGGCAGAAGGCCTGTGCTTCTCCCAGCTAAATTTTGGGGGTACACAAGCTCTTGTACTTAGCATACTAATTATAAGCTATCAAATTTAAAACCACACACTAATTTGTAACATAAGTATGTAAACATTTCTGGATATTTTTAGTTTTTAAACCTCTAACTCTGTACATTCTGATGGACCAAGAAACATAAAAGGTGATTGTGTGCCTGGGGATCTTGAGGCCCTGATTTGGAGGCCACAGACTTAAGCATTCAACTGTGCCTTTACTGTATTCCCTTTTTCAAAATGCTGAAAGGATAGCTTACTTTAAAAACTTGATAGTAATCATCTTTCTTCAATAGACCAAAGTCCTTCTAAACTAGGAAACACAGAGTGACCATCTTCCATAGTCCCTGGTTGAACAATCACAGATCGTGGGGTGTATTCGAGATGTGATTTTATTTTCACCTTATTCTAAATTAATAAGATGAAAGATAAAGTCTAATTTAAAATGTATTAAGTGAGGTTAATCTTCCCTTTCCCTGGGATAAAAAACAGGCATATCCCACAACTTTTCTGCTCTCTCTTAGATAACAAACAGTTTTTAGTCATAAGTTACCAGCATAATCCCAATTTACAAAGTAGAATGGTCTTATCCCGTCAGTGGACAAAACCCTGACCTGACTGAAGATTAAATCTCACCCTCTTCCCCACCAGGCTGGTGCAGTGGCAGGTGGCCAGCCTTTACCCTTATTCTCTTTCCTTCCCCCACCTAGGGCAGAGCAGAGGGAGGGGACTCTGGGGAGAAGCAGCATCGGGGTGGAGGATCATGCCAGCTGGTTTTGCCTCTCTGTCTTGGATCATCTCTGACACTCAATTTTTATTTATTAAGAGTAATGGAACCGGGCACAGGTAATCCTAGCACTTTGGGTGGCCAAAGAGGGAGAATCATCTGAGGTTGGGAATTCAAGACCAGCCTGACCAACATGGAGAAACCCGCCTCTACTAAAAATACAAAATTAGCCAGGTGTGGTGGTACATGCCTGTAATCCCAGCTAATAGGGAGCCTGCAGCAGGAGAATTGCTTGAGCCTGGGAGGCAGAGGTTGTGGTGAGCTGAGATCACGCCATTGCACTCCAGCCTGGGCAACAAAAGCAAAACTCCGTCTCAAAAAAACAAAAAACAAAAAACAAACAAACAAACCCAGTAATGGAGACATGATTTGCAAGGTCCATTCACTCATAATCCATCCAAATGGCCAAATCATGTGCTTCTACTGCTAAGCCAGATAGAATTTGAACTTGAACAAAAAAATATTTTATAGAGAACACTGTTCTTTGTGAGTTCAGTTTAAATCAAGTGGAGAATACATATTGGAAAATGAAGACTTAAGCACTTTATAACAATTGGCTCCATTTCCTTATGGAGAATTTCCAGTGTGACCATAATCAGTGACAGGTCATAGAAAACTGTGACTCTCCATTGCCTCTGTGCCCCTGGTCTAGAGAAAATACCAAGCACAAATAAGGAAAGCAAAGGTGTCAACAAACTTTAAAAGCACATGGCCTTTCTTAACAAAGACAGATACTGGTCATATATATATACACATACACACACACACACACACACACACACACACACACATATATGTGTGTGTGTATATATATATATACTTTTGTGCTTTTTTTGAGATGGGGTCTCACTGTGTCACCCAGGCTGGAGTGCAATGGTGCAATCTCAGCTCACTGCAACCTCAGCCTCCTGGGTTCAAGCAATTCTCCTGTCTCAGCCTTCTGAATAACTGGGATTACAGGCACATACCACCATACCTAGCTAAGTGGTCATATTTTTAATTCACTTTCAGATCACTGAAAGTTACTAGTTTTCATGTCTACATTTCCAGTTGAAGACAATCATGTAATAGGATGTTAAAATTGGATTCTTATTATCACAGCTTTCACTGGGATGGCAATAGATTATATGTCTAGTACCAAAGTATGAGACAGACCCTGAAAATGCACAATGCAACAGGAGATGGTATATGTAACACCTGGAGCCCTGAATTTGGAGGCTTTTCACATACTTTGAGAATGTAAAAGGGGGCAGTGTGGGGAGAATATTGTGAGGAAGAATTCTATGCAGAAAGCTATGCTGTTAGCCCCAGTCACCCCACCTCAAGCTGGGGCAGGGTGCTCTTTCTCCTAGACCAACAAAGTCTGATTTGTGTCTTTTGGATTTGGGAGACACTGTTTTCCCTAGTTTTCTCCCAACTAGGGATTCTGAATCAGCAGCAGTGATCAATGACTGCAGCTGCCCCTTTTCTCTAGGGGTGGGGCAGCGGCAGCCTCCTGGGAGGGAGAGAAAGCTGGCCTGGAGCCATCTGAAGTCTGAAATCTTGTCCAAGCAGACTGTCTAGAAGGACTACCACATGGTCAACCACCTTCTCTTCTCCCCGTCACAAAACGGGCAGTGCCCAGGGACGGCTGCTTTCCCAGGCTACCTACAACAAACAGGTCTGGGGCTGGGCTGCAGCCAAGCTGCCATGAACACACAAGGCAGGCAACAAAAAACCTTTGTTGTTGCAAACCACTGAGATGTTGGGACATAACTACAGTGCAGCGTAACCGCACCTGCTTCTCTTGGGGACCACTTTCTTCCATCATGCCTGATACGGTCCAGGAGTGGATGAACCACTCCAGTCCTAGGTGCGACTGGGTCAGGCTAATGAGGCCCCCTCCACAGGTGCAATGTTTGTGCTGGGATCCCAGCAGGGCTACAATGTGTCCTTTCTGGGACTTCGCTGGAGCTAATGGAAAAGAGATACTTTTGTCATGGGAATCACTAGCTTGAAGTCTGTTAGCCTAAAACTACCACTTACTATCAAATGGCAAGAATAGCTTGACTAAGCGTGACACCACCACAGAAGAAAATACAGCCAAAAAATGGAGAAGGGGAGTGGGGTTTTGGTCCCAGGCCTTGCTGTGATGGAGGAAGTACCAATCAATTGCCCATTTTCTTCGACCAAGATTTGGCTTTGCTTCTGAAATTTGCAACCAAAAAGAGCTATAAGCCTAACACTACAAACCGATAGGGACTCACATCGCCCATTTGACACGCAGTGTCTTGGCTGAAAGGGCACTTAAAAATCAGCGTTATCCTCAAGTTTCCACACAGTGCCCGCCAGAAGTATGTCCGGCAAGCCTGGCAGAAGGAGACATCAATACAAAATGGGCAGCCACTCGATGGGCCAAGAAGATTGAAGCCAGAGGAAGGAAAGCCAAGATGATAGATTTTGATCATTTTAAAGTTATGAAGGCAAAGAAAATGAGGAGCAGAATAATCAAGAATGAAGTTAAGAAGCTTCAAAAGGCAGCTCTACTGAAAGCTTCTCCCAAAATAGCACCTGCTGCTAAGGGTGCTGCTGCAGCTGCTGCTAAAGTCCCAGCAAAAAAGATGACCGCCGCAGGCAAGAAGACTCCAGCCCAGAAGGTTCCTGCCCAGAAAGCCACAGGCCAGAAGGCAGCGCCTGCTCCAAAAGCTCAAAAGGGTCAAAAAGGTCCAGCCCAGAAAGCACCTGCTCCAAAGGCATCTGGCAAGAAAGCATAAGAGGCAGTTATACAAAGTAATAAAGGTTCTTTAAAAAAAAAAAAAATCAGAGTTATTCTTCTAGCCTATAAACCACACAACTAAACTCTTTTAAATTGACAAGAATATGCCCCATTTGTGATGCATCTATGGATATGTAATATCTCAGAAATGCACTCCAGCACCTCACATCTTCATCATCACAGCACAGTTCCACACTTCAAACTACCATGTGGTGAGAATCTGAGCACAGGCTGTCTCATTCTTTCCTGTTTGTTATGAGCTCAGAAAGCTTTAGGTGTGGGATTTTGACAAAATGAACATACTCATCCCTTATCTGTACAACCGCAATCACCCGCACAGTGCTGGAGTCTGACCACATGGTCTCACAGAAGCCCGGAAGCTGCTACAAAGCAATATTTCAACATCACGTGTCCTGTGACGGCCGAAGCTGGGGAATGTTTCATGAATGCTGGTGCTGCTTACAGCTTGACTATAAAGCTCTGTAACCGCATAAAAGTTATATTAGAAAAGATAAGCAAAATCATGTTGGACAACAACCGACAGCACATTTACATTGATTCCTCCAGGAAAGATTCAGCTGAAAAGATCACTGGCTTAATGGGCCACAATTACTCCCAAACAATCTAGTCCTTCTTCTGTAGGGTTATCTGACTGATTTAGGTCATTCTAAGGGTTTCTCTGTTTATTTGAAATGTTCAGCTTTCACTTTTTGGTATGGGAGGAAAAGTCATTCATGAATACACGCTTAAAATTTATTTTGGTCACCGTTATCTAAAGATACCCGAAAATGCTACATTAGGCTGAAACCCACTTGGCCGCCATTTTTGTTTTCTTTTTCATTTTTTTCTTTTCTCTCTCTCTCTTTCTTTTGAGACAGAGTCTTGCTCTGTTGCCCAGGCTGAAGTGCAGTGGTGTAATCATAGCTCCTTTCAACCGTGAACACCTGGGCTCAGGGGATCCTCCCTCTTCAGCCTCCCAAGTATCTGGGACCAGAAGTGTGCACACGACCACACCAGGCTATTTTTTTTTTTAATTTTTAGTAAAGAGGAGGGCTCCTTATGGTGCCCGGGCTGATAACAAACTCTGGGCTCAAACGGTCCTCCTACCTCAGCCTCCCAAAGTGCTGAGATTACAGGAGTGAGCCACCACACCCAGCTTGACAGCTGCCATTATCAACAGGCCATCTCCTCATGGCCACTGAACAATTGCCTTCCTGCCCTCTATATCAAGGACAGTGGCATACAATGAATGCCTTCACAAATAAAGATCTTTTCACAAAGAGAGACCAACAATGCTCCTTTCCCTGAGATTTCCTGGGGAAGTAATGGCTTAGGACTTTAAGCTGCTTACAAACATGTAAGTCGCTGCTTTAGGGCTTGCCACAGTTCCCCACTGGAATTGAGGCAGTTCAGCTGAGAAACAAATAAACTCAGGGGCTTCCCTAAGCCCTGAGCAGATAGTAGAGCTCTTGACTAGAAACTAAGAGAAGCTTCAGTTTGACAAAAAACATTTTTGGTGGACCCCGCCCCCCGCCCAAAGTGTGCTTTTTTCTCTGAACTCAATGATAGCAACTTTTCACAACCTTTTTAGCAGGGGGAAGGAGAGGTAGATTAAAAAGCTGTCTGAATTCTTTTAAAGACAGATGAGGTGCACATCAATATTATGCATCCATGGAGTTGTTGTGAGGATTAAATGTATGTAAAGGACTTAGAACAGTGCATAGCATGCAACAAATAAAATAGAAGTGTTTGCGCTTATTGTACTTCAAGTATCATGATAAGCTTCCTTTGTTCTCAAAGTATGAGCAACTTGAAAGAGGGTGTTATCAGATTACCAACAATCAGGAATTCTGGGGTGATAATAGTAAACTGAAAATAAACATAAAATTTAAGTATTTGAATAAAATAATATGTAATGATTTAGTGCACAAAGAACTTTTTCTGCTTCTCCAAAGTAAGACATTAAAAAACTCAGTTGAATCTGTTTTTACAAGAGAAATGTCTAAAATTTTATTACAGTACTATGTGATTTACAGGAAAATAGTAGATTTCTTTTATAGACATTCTTCTGAATGATGGCATTAAAGAACACTCGAAACACTGAGACTCACATTTAATATTAATGAGTTTGAAATGTTGGCCCTGCCTAAAATTTTTAATAAATTTCAAAGAGGCCACTATGAATCCCTGTAATTTCACCTTCTCTTTTAATAAATCATAAGGTAATTTTACATTAGGATGAGAGGATTGGAAGTATGATTTAATTATGAAAGCTAAAAGTGAAGTCTGCAGCAAAGGGAAACACATCCTCCTCTCTCAGCATTTCTGCAAAATGATAGAAATCCAGAGCACAGATTTGCAACTGGACAACAGTTTTAAGTACACAACATACATTACCAAACTTACATTCTTTATATTCACTTATTCTGATTTTTACCTGCAAGTAAAGTAAAGTTGGGAGAAAATCAAAGTTTTGTTTGAACTGGGTTCCCCAGAAACAAATAATACAAAGAAATTCTCATTTACTAGTATTTATTATAATATTAACTTAATACAGGAGTTAGGGTTACTTGTTTACCACTGAAATTACTTACGATAAATTTTCACTGGAACTCCATATCCAGTGAATAACATCAGTATGCTGTGCATTCATTCAAAGAATACAGAACAACAACAACAAAAGTACCTCAAATTAAAAAGCATGATATTTTGTTCTAAAAAAAAAATAGCCAGGTTCTACCTGCAAAATCTTAGAAGGGAAAGATCATAGTATAATCAGCTGAGCAGGAAAAGCTGTTAAATGTTACATGTGTAGGAGTAACAACTGACATTGATTTTACAGCTTATAACATATTTTCATATACGTTGTCTGATTTTATTCTCACACCCACTCAGTGGTGGGTCTTGTTTGTCTCATGTTAGGGAAAATTGAGGTGCAAAGGGAAATGCCCATGTCACAGCTGGTTTGTAGCAGAGCTCAGGGCTGAGAAGCCGAGGACCAGAGATCCTTCCACTGTTCACACTGCCCCTCCAGCACATCGGTAAAAAAATACATAAATAACACCAAAGGAGGTGTTAAACAGTCATGTGGATTTCATCCTGCATAAGAACTCTTTTCAACAGATTTTCAACAGAACAAGGTTCTCTTTCCTTGGGCGGAACTCTCCTCCTGTCTGCACCACCAGCACCAGGGTGTGGGCGAGCCCAGCCCACCAACAACTGCAGCTGCCAGAGGCCCCTCTGTCTCCAGCACCCAGGCAAAGGGTGACATCATGTCAGGGATCTATGCATCCCTCTCCTAAAGACGCTGAGTAAACAGTCTGCACAGCTTACAAACCACACATTTCGGCAACTCCACTGCGTCCATAACCTCAAGGAAGTGCAGCTGGAGATTTTATTAGCACTTTATGGTCCACATGATCATTTAAGGAGGGTAAAAAGCTCCAGTCAAATAAATTCCTGAATTAAACCTCCTTAGCAAATCTGTGTGCTATGAAAATCACTATTACTGGGCATGTATTTTAACAGCCCTCTCTTTTAGCTATTTATTTGATGGGGTGGCAGGTGGGAATGGAGGTGGGGGTGTATCTCTGATTTCGATATCGAACTAGAAACAGGCTAGGCATGGTAGCTCACACCTGTAATCCCAGAACTTTGTGAGGCCGGGTGGGTGGATCACTTGAGGTCAGGAGTTTGAGACACCCTAGTCAACATGATGAAACCCCATCTCTACTGAAAATACAAAAAAAAAAAAAAATTAGTCGGGGGTGGTGGCATGTACCTGTAATCCCAGCTACTCAGGAGGCTGAGGCAAGAGAATTGCTTGAACCTGGGAGGCAGAGGTTGCAGGGAGTAGAGATCACACCACTGCACTCCAGCCTGGGTGACAGAGTGAGACTGTCTCAAAAAAAAAAAAAGTGCTAGAAACAGAATCTTTAATGAGAAGAAGCAAAAATGTGTGTGTTTGTTAATTCTGGATACAAGTAAGATGCTGATAGATATACAGATTTTTCTACAGATCTTCCTTTTCTTGCATTTCCTTTATTAAAATTTCTAGTTAGACTTGACTTCATTATAGTCATTTAAAGTGGAATGGAAGAATTTCTTTTTTAATCAGAAGTCAGACAGAAAGGTAGAGGGCTAGAACTGGGAGAAAGTTAACATTTGGCCATGCGAGTATGAAAAGATGCTCCTTCCTTTTCCATCTCCACGCTGGGTGGACGATGGCAGGTTCAGGAGTGACTGGAATGCCCTCATTTTCCTAAGATTACAAGTTGGGAAGTGTCAGCCTGTCCTCTTCTTTTTAAAGTTATTCTTATTTAAAGACAGCATCTTGCTCTATCGCCCAGGCTGGAGTAAAGTGGTGTGATCATAGCTCATTGCATCCTGGAATTCCTGGCCTTAAGCCATCCTCCCGCCTTAGCCTCTCAAAGTGCTAGGACTAAGGTGTAAGCCCTCCCATTTTTAAATAAACATACACATAAAATGTCTTAAAAGGTAAATCTCAATTCTGTTCTTTCCTCTCCAAAAATATAGTTTTATTTAAGAAGACAATAGAAAGATCATCCCATGCTGGGAGCTGGCCCTGCCCAGCATTCTGGCTGACAGGGCTTTAGGATGGGCGCTGCAGCCTTAACTCCTCACAAGTCCCGTGGGTCCCTATGTGACCTCAGTCCACTCGTTTTCCTGAGGTCAGTGTCTGGGGCTTTCCTCAAAGAACAAAGATATGGCAGAGCTGGGTGGGGGAGCTGCCCACTGTTCCTTCAGAGGCTGGCAATGGTGGGCAGGGGAGCAGATGGAGCTGGGGAGAAGCCCCAGGCCAGCCCAGCAAATCAGTGGCATCTAACATGGTGCCTCCTTGTCCTTTCTGCCCCTCCCCGCCCTCCGACGCCCGGTCCTATGCTTCCTGTCTTGCCTCTATCAAGCTGACCACAAGCAGCTCTGGCCCACGTGTGTGTTTTCTTTGAAACACAGTATTGGCCAGCACAATGTTTCAAACTTGAAGTCCAGGGGCAGGCTGGATTGTCTGTGGTCCACT